CTGAAAAAGGCTTGTCGAATCATTGATCACGACAGTGATGTGAAATACTAATGACACTATAGTCTCATGCTTTTTATTTCTGCTGTTTTCATTAATGTACATTTCATGTTAAGTGATTTAATGAATGTCAACATTAACTTTCTGATTGCAGGGTAGAATTTCTGTAGCAGACATTATGGAACTGTTCTAATTAGAGTTCAGGGTTATACTAACAACAACTGTTTATTTCTTGTTATTTATGTTGCTGTTTCATGGCAGAACCTGGTTGATTGTTGCATGCTTACTTCGCTTGATTACCGAGCTGAATCAGATTTTCGTTCCAATCTGTGGGAGCTATGAGTTTTATGGTTACTATGTACACAAAAATGTTATTTTTCTGTAATGGGAATGGCCAGTTGTACGCTTACTGCAGAATGAATTGCAGTTTTTTAAAAGGGAATACTTGTTATTTATCTGTAATGGGAAGGGACAATTCATCCGAGCTGCAACAAAAATTTTTGTGTATTTCATTGATTTATGGTATAAGTTTTATGATTTGTAATGGTCATTTATCTGTAATGGTATAATTTTATGGTATAAGTTTTGTGTATTTTCAATAAGTGGATATGTAATGTGGATAAAAATCGTTTATACTAATACATTTTTGTGGGTCTATATGTAAAATTTAATTTTTTCTAGAGTTGTGTATATAAGATAAGCAGATTGTTAATGATGTATATCCGAAATGCATTTTTGTTATGTTAATTCGTTTATACTGTTATATTTTTTGGGTCTATATGTAAAAATTAATTTTTTCTAGAGTTGTGTATATAAGATAAGCGGATCTGTAAAATGATGTATATCCGAAATGCATTTTTGCTATGGTAATTCGTTTATACTGTTACATTTTTTATGTTGTATATGTAAAAATTATTTTTTTCTAAAGTTGTGTATATAAGATAAGTGGATATGTAAAATGTTGTATATCCGAAATGCATTTTGCTATGTTAATTCTGTATCGTTTTTTTGGTTTTGGATGTTAGAAGATTGAATTTTTAATAAAGATATGCAGAGGGTTTTCAAAAGAAGTAAAACATACGTTCCAGATTTTAGAAACCCATCAAAGCAGATACATAATTGATAAACTGTTTCATTTTTTGATTGGAGAATAATGCAATAATGTTTCATTATTAAAGCTGATCCAACATACATAAAATTTAAAAGAAGAAAGCTGATCCAACATACATAAAATTTACAAGACGAGCTGGCGTAATTCATAAACCATGTGTTGATTAGGGTTGAACAATAATGTGTTGATTTCGGCTCTCATATCCTTCCAAAAGGATATCCAGTAGCTGTTCTAAATCATGTGCTGATTCGGGTCCTCACAGCCTACCTGCAGAAATTCATCGAAAAAACTTTTACATCAAACAAAGTTTTAAATGCAGGAAGACTCCATGAAATGCAGGAATACCTCAAGAAGGACAAACTTGCAATACCTTAATTCATTACCACTGAGGGATTGATTACTCATTGAGGCATTCTGTCATCATCGCAGTGTAGGATTCCCTGTTTCTTGGAGGAAATGAATTCTGCATGTGTGGTTCGATGTATTGTTAAATCATGAAATAATAGTAATACAACCTAAAAAATTTTGAAAAGTTATACCTGTGTTAGAAAATTGGGTAATGAACATGCGGGTGGATGACATTGTGATGTCTCGGGTTCTTCGGTTGTTGTTACATTTTTTTGTTTGCCTAAATATATACATATCAAACTTGGTAAATTAAGTGACACAACATATAAAATGGATTGTAGTTGTTGATCCATACCTTTTGATCTTTTATTTTTTTCCCAGTACCCTTTCAGTCTGGCATTAGATATTCCTTTAGGTCGCATTTTAGCTGGATCATTCATAGTATTTTCATTATTGACTGGTGCTTTATTTTTCCTTTGTTGTCTTCGTGATTGAGTACCCTTACCAACCAAAATGTCATCAATGTCCAATGATAATTTCTTCATGGATTCCTTCATGCGCTGCTCAGCTTCTGAATTCCCCTTTGCTTTCCGGGTACATTGATATGCAACTTTCTGCATGTGTGCTTCGAATAATAGGTCGCCTTGAATATTATTTGAGGACTGTGACTGCTGCAGATGCATGTATCTGGAATGTTATAAACATCCCTCTTTGCATTTTCTGACCATCTCAGTAGTAGATATTTATTTGTTATTTTCTTAATGTGTAAGAAATTTAGAACTCGTAGAGAGTGTGCACACAGTACCCCCATCATTTCGAACTTCCTGCAGCTACACTGAATATTCATGGTGAAGCTGTCAAAATGAACTGCCCAAATACTGTTTGTCTTATGATCATCCAAACTCTTGACAAAAAATTCAGTTTCATCATCTATGGAGGCATGCAATTCAAGACCACATGATCCATGGATAAACTCTTCTTCGAACATTGCATACAGCTTCCTAGAGTAAAATGCAGCTGCTTGCCTCAGTATTGGACTACTCTTCGTAATAGGAGTTCTGATTGATTGATCACACTTGAAATCTTCATCCTTCTCGTTGCGTCTCCATGTTCTCATTACATTTTCAATACCCAAAAAACAATCTGTAAGAGAACTTGTGGGCTTTGAGACACCATGACAAATGTTATTGGTGGATTCACTCCTTTGTGTGGATAAAATTCCCATCCCAAAAACATCTTTATTAAAAGCAGTGGACCACTTGTGTCTAATCTTGTACAAGTCATTTAGCCACCCATTGTCATGTAGATTTCCTGTCTCAATCATCAACTTCCATGTATTTTCAAATTCCTCTTCGGTCTCACATCTGCTCTAAGCATTTATAAAAAAGATCACTAACTCTTCTATTCACCAAACCGCAATGAACATTTGTAGGTAATTTCTTGTACATGTGCCACTGACATAGTCTATGTCATGTATTTGGCAAAATATCTGCAATTGCTCTGGCCATAGCCTGGTCCTGATCTGTGTAGATTGTTATTGGATGATTATCACCCATGATACGGATGAAAGTTTTAAAAAGCCATTTAAAAGAGTCCACCGTCTCCTCTGACAAAAAACCGACTCTCCAAAGAGAACTCCAAAGAGAATGTTCTGCCAATTGTGGTTAACACCAACAATATGAACACAACATAAGTTATATTTATTTAGCCTGTAGCTTATATCAAAAATAATGACATCTCCGAAGCAGTCATAATCAAGCCTGGACGTTCCGTCGCTCCAAAAAAAACTCATTAGTCTGCCGCTCACATCAGTTTCAAAGTCCCACTCAAACATGCTATCCTCAGAACGTCTATCTGTAAACAACTGTAGTAAAGCGTTGGCATCACCGTTTTCAATTCTAGATCTTTTATCTCTTTGAATGAAATTGAAAGCATCTGCCTTTGTACATTCTAGGTTCTCTACACCACCAACTTCTAAGAAAATTAAATGCGTTGCGTATTTTGGCTGTATCCCAGAGTGAGTCATAGATCTAAGAACATCTGCATTTACTTCGCTTATCTTTCTGCTCGAACGCAGCAAATGTTTGTCACCTGGGTTTGCTAATAAGTGATTGTGTGATTCTATTAGTTTTTTAAC